TCTCTTGGCTTCTAATTCTCCACCTGATTGATAAATTTATTCTCTTTGCATTCTCTGGTTAAATGATCTCATCCATTATAAATACCATTTCTATTTTGAGAACTCCCAAATGCATATCCCTAGTATTATTGCATGTTCTTCCTAACTTCAATCACCTGCATCCAGTCACTTGCTTTACATTTCCATTTGGGTGTCTTACAGGCATCAAAACTTAGCATTTTCAAAACTAAAATTTTCACTGCTTATCTCTCCAGTCTTTTCCCAATAACATTTATCTCTCCTCCTAAATCTTCTCCATTTCAATAAATGACACTATCACCCACTCATCTGCTCAAGAAAAAACTAGAAGTCATCCAATCCATCAGCAAATCCTGTTGATTCCATTTCCAAGATATGTCTTGAATCTGTCGTTATTCATATTAGTTCACAGAATAATAATCTCTTGTTTGAATTACAGCAAAACCCTTTTAACTAGTCTCTTTAATTTCTTTAGCAATCTCTTCAATCCATTCTCCACACAATAGTCAGACCAATCTTTGAAAACATAAACCAGTTTATGTAATTCCCTTGCCTAAAATCTTCCAATGATTTTATGCCTCACTTTAAATAAAATTCAAACACCTTACTTTAGTCTAGGACCCTGGTGGCAGTGGTTAAACACTTGGTTGCTAACTGAAAATTTGGCAGTTTGAACCCACCAGCCTCTCTGAGGGTAAAAGATGTGACAGTTGGCTTCCATAAAGATTACAGTCTTAGAAATTCTATGGGCAGCTCCACTCTGTCCTATAGAGTCACTATGGGTCAGAGGCAACACGATGACAATGAGTTTGATTTCTTTGGTTGACAAAATTCTTTGAAACTAATTGAGGTCAAAGTAACATCTAGTCTTTTCTCTGCCTTTACCCATACAACTGTTCTCACTGACATGTAAATCTTCTTTCAATTTCTTGAACACATATTGCACATACTGTTCTTTCTGCCCTAGCTCCTTTCATGGTTATCTCCTTTTTATCTTGTAGTTTCTATTTTTAAATGCCACTTCCTTAGTAAGTCCTTCCTGGATCATTCTAATAGGTCCTGCTTCCATTTAAAGAACGTCCATGTCATTTGAACACAGGAATGGACTTTTATACCAACTAGAGAGCAGCAAAAATACTTGTAAATTCTTCATCTAAGGAGAACTCAACATCTCTCATACGCCAAAGTGATTCAGTCATCCTCCTAAAGATGAAATGAAAGAGATTTGGAATGCATTGCTTGTGTGTGTCCAGAGTAAGGTGAATGCCTTAAGAGGAAATTTCCCATGATATACGGCATACTACCCAATTTCAAAGGCAAGTTAAATTCCAGACCGTTCAAATTCAGCCCTACTTCAGAGTTGAACGTTTAAACTTAGTCCATACATTTTTGAACCACATGCAGTCAAGCACACAAAGGAATCATCTATTCAGGAAGTACTCTGTGATGCTCATTTACCTCTGTTTACTCATTAAGCCCCCACGTACTTAAAACTCTAGACTGACATGGCTTCTCAAGACTCTGACAGTTGGAAATAACTTTCAGTTTAGATCAACTTCTTGGCAGGACTCTGGATTTGAAACTCAAGCATTGAAGTGACCCACAAGGCCAGGTCTCAGGTTTTGGGAGGGATGTTATCAGAAGTCATATACCCCATAGAACGTTTTCGCAGACCAGAATTCCTTTCATGTTTCCTCTCCTCTCCTTCCTAAACCCAGGTTGTACAGCTGACATTGTGTTATAGAGGTGTTGGATTTGGGAATAAAAGAAACTAATTCTAGAATACAGGGAAGAAAGAAGAGCTGTAACATTAGCTGCAGCTATCTCCAAATTCTTCTTATGCTTTGGAATGCCAGCGGGAATTAGTGACATACTCCCAAGTCTTACCGGGTTAAATATATTTTTGAATTTTTAAAAATGCAAGAGTGGATGGTGAACACAGATGTAGGTATCAAATAGATGACTGTTGTTAAAACCAAACCAAACCAATGCCATCAAATTGATTCTGACTCAGTGACCCTACAGGACAGAACAGAACTGCTCCACAGGGTTTCCAAGGCTGTAAATCTTTGTGGAAACAGGCTGTCACTTCTTTCTCCTGTGGTATGTATGGTGGGTTTGATCCACTAGCCTTTCAGTTATTCGCCAAGTGCTTTAACCACTGTTGCCACCAGGGCCCTTATGATCACTGTTACTGTATGTTAATTAACTTCTTGTGGGGTTATTTAACTGTTTACTTAAAGAATATTTCAGTAAAGACTTTGACTTGTAGCTCCTTTTTAATACTATACAACACAACTTCTCTTGCATTCTCATACTGGAAAATGTGGGCGGTAAGATAAGCAATTTATTTTCACATTTTAATCCCATTACTTGTTATTCCAGTTATTCCACTTTCTCTGGTTTCACAATCCAAGAAATATTGAAGTGATGCAGAGATAAGACAACAGTGGGGCCTGATTCAGGGTGTAACTGGTATCAGATTCCTGAATGAACTGAAGGTGGTTCTAAATTAAATACCTTCCATTCCAGAAAGTTAGTGGCAACTCTAGATTCAACCAGAGAATTGGAGAAAGTTTATACTTATTCCTCTGGACCAGCCCATAAATTCAACTGCCTAACATGGAGCTCTGGTGGCACAGTGTCTAAGGCATTTGACTGCTAACCAGAAGGTTGGTGGTTCAAACCAACCAGCCACTCTACGGAAGGAAGACTGGGCAATCTACTTCAATAAAGATTTACTGCCTCGGAAACCCAAAGGGGGTCACTATGAGTCGGAATGGACTCGATGGCAACGAGTTTGTTTGTTTTAACATGAGATCTTTCGTTGTTGTTGTTATGGGCTGTTGAGTCAGCCCTGACCACTGAAAACCAACTTGGGACTTTTCTTACGTATTGCACAAGATCAGTGAAATTCTGAGCTCCATGACTTCAGAACTAGAAATCCGGGAGAGAGTTTAAAGAACCACAATGATTATTAATAACCTTGACTAGTTGTAGAAATGGGCAGATAATTACAGGATGAACTTAATAGACAGAAATACAGAGCAATTTAGAGCAAGAGAAAAAGAAAAGACTATAAATACAAGGGGAAAGGCTTTGCTTTGTGGGAAAAATATGAGAATCATATTTTAAACCACAAGTAAAACATGAATTCACCATATAGTAGTTGTTTCATTATTTTTTAAAAAGAAACCCACAAAACATATGTAGAATACTCCATTTAAAAAAAGAGAAAATCATACCCTAGTCACTTATACAAGTATTTATTAAGTACCTCTCATACACTAAACAACTGTGGGTGCTGGAACAGAAACGAAGCAGACAGACATGGAGCTCATTGCAGTGTGGTAAATGACAGAACTCGTTTCTTTAACATGGGCTTTAGCTTTTATTCTGTAACCAACTTAAAATATAGCAAATACTGGGTTCCTTAAGGGTAACAGTGGTATTACGAGGAGGGTACAGGGGGTGCAAATTGCACCATGTGACACTGTCAGAGGGGTGACATAAAAATGACTATACGTGAAGTTTTTGTGCAGTGCTTCAGCAGCAATTTATTATTTTTAATAAAAAAAATCCCTTTAGTTAGTTATTACAACAAAAACATTTTTTGTAAGTCTCATTTACATGAATCAATATACCAACTAGGCTAAAACTTTATACTAATTTATTTTGAACCTTCTAATGCGCTCCGGTTAGAGCTGCCATTATTACCCAAATACAATGATGCTTTGAATCACGTGGTTTTGTCTGTACTCGATTTGAACACAAGCTGTTGTTTTAATTGCTGCCAGTGTATAGTAGTGGGTTCATAGGGTGTGTGTGTGTGTGAAACCATGAGTTACAGCACTGAGTGATACCAACCCTAGTGATGACACTGCACAAAAGGGCAAATACTTCAAATACTCTATGATCTCACTTGTATGAAATATATAAGTTTGACAAATGAATAGAGACTAAAGATTATTAGTGGATACGTGGAACTAGAGGAGGAACAAATGGGGAGTTACTTCTTCAGTTGTATTAAGTTTCTGTTCACCGTGTTGAAACTTTTGGAAATAGATCATGGTGATGGCTTACAACATGACAAACATAATTAATGTCATTGAATTGTCCATTAAAAAATTGTAAATATAATCAATTATCACTGAGGCCCTGCTCTCTCACCTGAGCAACTAGAAAGGCGTGTGTGCCCAAAGCTTCCCTATTACTTCCTATTGGAAGCAAAAGCACTTGTTAGGATTTCTAGCTTCTGTCCTGAGAATTCAGAAGGCCCTTCTATACCATGGATGATCACAATTTTTAGAAACAGCTTTGCCTTTTTCCAAGGAGCTCTGGTGGTGCAGTGGTTAAGGCTGCTAACCAAAAGGTCACTGGTTCAAACCCACCAGCTGCTCCACGGAAGAAAGATGGGGCAGTCTGCTTCTCTAAAGCTTTACAGCGTTGGAAGTCCAACTGGGATTGCTACTCGTCAGAGTCAACTTGATAGCAGCGAGCTTGGTTTTGTTTTGTTTTTGTCCATTCACTGTATTCATCTCCTGTGAGGGGGCTACACTTTCTGTGTCTCAGTTCAACCAGGAGCTGAAATCCCCAAAACTTCAACTGGTTTTCTTCTTAGCCATAGGTCCAACTACTTTGGCTGATGATTCCTCCTCTGCCACACGTTTCTTTCCAGCCAGGACAATATAACTGCCTAACAATCAACTGAATGCTAGGTTCTCAGGTTCCCTAGGTTGGGTGGGAGGGTGGTCTTCTGTTCCCTGTGGTCTCTGAATCCTCTACTTCCAACTGTGTCTTTTCCTCTTCATGATCATAGCATCAGACTCAGCATAGGGGCCCACAAACACCTTGATGATATCCATGTGGATCTCTTCTTTAGGGCTTTCATTTTTGGGTTCTCTCTCTGTATTCTCTATGGCTTTCAGAATGTCAAAGCTTCTTCCAAGACATGCAACACTGGGCACCTGAGTGCTGGCAAGATGATCTCCTCAGACATACAGGGACACAAGTTCTCAAGACCTCCAATCCTGCAGTCTACTCAGATATCACAGATAGGAACTAGGCCAAAGATGGATGTGGACAGGAATTGGGTGAAAGACAAGTTGGAGGGGAGCTGGATTTGGGCTGAGAAGCAGATAGCATGGTGGCGTGGGTGGGTAGGTGTGTGGCATAGATGAAAAGATGGAGACCTGAATCCAAGGCAAAGATTCAGAAAGGGAGCTCACAAATATATGATTCTTATGACCAGTTGACTTGGAATGGGCTTCCAGATGGAAGGATCCAGCCTTTGGGAGCAGGAAAGGCTCCTCTCTATGCTCAGTGGAGAATCTGGACACTTCATGTGTATAAATCTTTTGTAAGGGTTATCTTAGCTTTCTGTCAGTTTTACAAGTCAGAAATGTTTTTTCAATGACTTGGGATCCATCTCTTTGAAATGTAAACATCATCAAGGTAGTGCCCCTATCTCTCATCACTATGGGCATTAAGCTTGGGTAGCTCTTTGCTTATCTTAGCAATATGAGAAGTTGTATTATTTCTTTAGCCCACTGAGGCTAAAAAAGGATGGAGTCACTTATGTCATGCCAGAAGAGCATGGCTGCTGTTTCCACAGAGCAAATGTTTAAGATAATAGGTAACCTAGCCTTAGATATAATAACTAGCTTGTTTAAGTTTGTGTGTAACAAACCTTTTTAGAATAGCTCCACATTCCAGAAAAGATGGTGTTGGCAGGTATTGACCCCTCAGACGTTTGTTGTCTTTTAAGCCAAACACAATTCTAAGGAAGAAAGGACTGCAATAGACATTTTGATGAATATCCAAAATACTCATTGAAACTGGCTGGACTTCCCTGCCTTAAGTGGAGTCACTAGGGGGGTACAGAAGGTGAGGACCACATCGGGTCACACTGTCAGATGGGATGATACCAAAATGACTATGTACAAATTTTTTTGTGCAGTGTTTCAGCAGAAAGGTATGATTTTTTATAAAAAATATCCCTGTAGTTACATCAACAAAAACATTTTTCATAAGCCCTGCTTACATTTAGCAATATACATACAAGGCTAAAATTCTATGCTAATTTACTTTTTGAACCTTCTAATGGGCTGCAAGGAAGGAAGGCTGGGCAATCTACTTCCCTAGTTATATCACCTTGGAAACCCAAGGAGGGGTCCCTATGAGTGGGATCTGACTGGAGGGCAGTGAGTTGAGTTGTTGTTGAATGGACTGTAAACCATGGTATTTTCAATTACTTCATATGCATGTGAAAGCTGGACAATGAGCAAAGAATTGATGGTTTTGAATTACGGTTTTGGGGAAGAATATTAAATATAACATGGATTGCCAGAAGAATGAACAAATCTGTTTTAGAAGAATAGCCAGAATGCTCCTTAGAAGCAAGGATGGCGAGACTTCATTATCTCATGTACTTTGGACGTGTTATCATGAGGGACTAGTCCCTGGAGAAGGACATCATGCTTGATAAAGGAGAGGGTCAGCAAAAAAGAGGAAGACCCTCAATGAGATGCGTTGACATAGTGGCTGCAACAACGGACTAACACCTAGCAAGGACTGTGAGGATGGCGCAGGACCAGGCAGTGTTTTGTTCTTTTATACATAGGATCGCTGAGTTGGAACCGACTGGATAGCACCTAACAACAACAAAGGTGCTATGGTCAGAGTTGCCATTATTATTCAATTACAACTATCCCAATCACTTAGTTTCAAATGTACGCCTACAAGCACGTGTTCCTGTTGCTTTCGTTGCTGCGCTGGGTGAAACTAACCCAAGTGACACCGCTATTAGGTAGAGATCCTATTTTTTTACATTTTATATCTCCATCTGTGCCTAATACCGTACCTTGTAAGCAATCAGCACATATTAAGGGGAAAACAAAAAACAAAACAAAACAAAACAAAAAAAAAAACCACGGGCAAAAGAGTCCTAAAATAACTAAAACTTGAAAAAGCAAACACTTAAGTGAACATTAAATACATTGATGGATATCTGCAGTTTTTTTCTTCAGCGGTAATAAACATATATTTGCGAACCTATTACGTGCAACAGCTCTCCACACAACGCATTGTGTATAAAAAAGGACTGGTGGGAATGGATTCAAACTGCACATCGTAATAACTGGTGTGGACATCCTGACTGGGCGGAGAGCCCATCCTCCGTTGATTCCCCTCCCTTCCCCTTTCAGCCAAAAGACAAAACGCTTAGCAGAAGTCACAGGGGTGGGACGCATCGCTAAGGCTGGGAGTAGACACCTGATCGTGTGCACGAAACACGTTTGTGGCCAGCTCTGCAGGCGCGGTGGACCGGCTCCTACCCCGCCTTCCAATCATTCGGCGCCCTTAGTCTCGGAGCGGACAAGGCGTCCCCCCAGAGGAAAGAGAGGGTGCCGCAGAAACCCCTTGGAGGTATCACCAGACACCCACTCGCCTTGGTACCTTGTTTCTTTTGGGCTTCCCCTGACCACTCGGACGTGCACTCAAGAGAGGCTGGGGGGCATGATTTGACAGCCAGGCGCGCACAAACCCTGGCCACATCCACCTGCCCACCCACTACGGCCCCACAGTTCAGCCGCAGCTCCGGGGTTTTTAGGAGCCCGCACCCCTTTCTCGCGGGATCTCTGACCAAAGAAGGCCGGACGCCCAGGCATCGCGGTATCAAGCCTCGGTCCGCCCCGCCCCCTCACTCTCCAGCCGGCCCCGCCCTCACGCTCTC